TTGACAAATTGAGGAGGGTGCGGGTGAAGGGAAATGAGCTGTGTCGGCATTCAGAGAAACACTGAACTTCTTGTTAGCTGGAAGGAGTGTTGTAGATGAAAAGGCAAGGAGGGTCTTATAGTGATTTATTTCTCATGTGATTTATATCCTGTCTGCCACCATGGTGCTGTCATTGTGATCATTGGTCATTTAGACCATAAAAACAGTCCACCTGATGAAGGTACGCGCCAACATTTGCAGCCGAGTACGCATTAATTCTCCTCCTGAACTTTTGTGGGAAGTTTTATTTTATTCATGTCATTTAGTGTTAGTGTTCTAAGTGTTAGACTTAGAAATGCTGGGGGGAGCACTTTGTTATGGTATATAACCAGGAAGATATTCATCTTTTTCTGAATTACTAAAAGTTAAATATTAAAATTTGAATGACTCCGGTTGTGACTGAATCATGTGTTTGACGTTGGTCTCCTCTACTTTAACATTTTAACATCAAGTGTAACCTCCCTTTTCAATCAATTCTAACCTGCTAACCTTCCAACTTCAACGTCCTGCTTTGTTCCTTTTGCACATCTTGCTCGCCTTTCCCCAGCACCAGTGTGCATGTGTGTGTTTAGGTGTGGACTCCTCCAGCTATGATGAACTGAACTGCCCTCCTGCACAATTTTACAAGCTTTTTTTATTGACCTGGGTCTGTGTTTGCTCATCACAATAACAGTACTGGAGTGGTTTACTGTCCTGCATATCTATATATATCTATCCAGTCTGTCTCCTGACACAGAGGCCAACTGAAGCACTGTCTACTATACACCTTTCTGTCCTCCTGTCAGTAATACACTGCCTATTTACTTCAGCTGAATGTGTGTGGTGAAAGAACTTTATTTCTAAATATGTCCATGCATTATTCTTCAGATTTTGGTTTGTAGGCACATTTAACATGAAATACAATGAAACAAGCCCACAGAACATAATAATGTAAATAAACTGCAGATAGGATGGGTGGACTCTCTGTTGTGACTGCGACTTTGTCAGGTGCTCCTGCAAACACAGCCGTCAGTGCAACTATGAGAAAAACAGATAATATACTGTCAATAAATAAATAACTTTTGCCATGAAATTAAGCCCATGACTTTAACTTGTGAAAGCACAATACTAAATTGTTGGTGTGCTGTTTTCCTCTAAATGTCTTATAGAACACAGCTTTGCCTTAGTCACATGCTCGGCCACAAGCCCAAATAAATCATGAGGTGTTTTGTTTGTACAGAAAATTAAAAAATATTGCCACTGGAAAACACGTCTGACATGTTGGCAGAACATTTTTAGCATGCATCAGCATTTATGATTTTTGTTGTCAGCAATGACATCATCATTGCAAGACAAGACACTGGGGAATATATGTGACCAAAGGGGTGACTGGCATCACTGGGCAGGGAACGTTAAGACCAAGCTTATTTATACAACACACCCAAAGCTGTAAAACATGCCATGTTTGCCCAGCGTAACAAACCTCGCCAGTGTAGGGTGCAACATAATTCTGCAAAGTGAAATTATATCAGTTAACGCTAACTCTGTTTCCTAAGCCCTATATCATTTCATGCTGGTTCAATTTAGAAGTGTAAGTTGCTTAAAAACATGAATCAGCTCTACTTGTGTTTAACTTATGAATGAAGATGTAAAAATTGTATGTTTTGAAAATGTAAACGAACTCAGTTAACTGAATCTGAGACAAAAAATCAGGACATTAGATATGAAATTGGCTCAACTGTTTATTCCCATGGAGTTGTTTGAGATTTGTTTTGCTTATACACGTAAACATTAATACTCAGTTTAAAGAGTCAATTCTTCATTTGATATAAAAACTTACAGCTGCAGCTGTTGAAGCCATTTTGCAGGTACATTGCAAACACAACACATGGGGCTGCTCCCATGGAATTAATTTGTTAAAGTGAGGGCCCAGTGCTTAGTTCACAAACAATAGCAGTCTAAACTCTGCTCAAACTCTTAATTCCCTTTAAACAATTTAGTTTCAGCTCTTCTTTTTCCATTAATTACACTCCAAAAATTGTTACCTCAGACCTTGAGACATTGCAAAGTCGGAATATAAACCAAGTAGAGGTGGAATTTGTGAATTACAATTGCTTAGACACAGTTGCGCCATTTGCAAATGTTTAGAAGATCCCATGGTGCAACAAATCGCACACATGCACAGCTGTCCCACACACAGACACAGACTGGGCTTGTTTATCCTTCCATGCAGAACCAGACACGGTGCCTTGCAAACCCTTAAACACAAGTAGACCCCTCCCTCTCATAGCCACTGACCTAGCCATGAACCATTCATTATCTGCTTCTCAGTGCAAATGATAGGTTGAGGACCAACGCCTTGAAAGATACATGCTCTCAGCCCACTGGTCAATGGCAAAGAACTTTATCTGCTTCAGATGCAGGACATTAATACTAAGAGTACTTGGAGGTCAGGGACAAAGCTGGAGTTAGGTGAAGGAATCATGATATGGATTTACCTGTGGATTTGGTGGTCACTTGGCAGCTTTTTAAAGTTTAAATCACCTGCTAACTACACCCAACAGCCTCCTACCCTCTGACCCCTCCTCCTCCTCCAATGGGGTTGCTGGGGTTTTATCTGCAGTGGACGTGGGCTCCTCTGTGGTCTTTACACAAACCCTCATGTTGACATTCCAGAGGACCAAGCCTTGTGCAAACACATCAGGCCCCACCAGATAGCTAGGCGAGGGAGGACAGGGCTAGGACGAAGGACGCTGCAGAGGAGGACTAGGAAGGACAGGAAGAAACCTGAATCAGAATGAAGATCAATTTTACCACCAAAATGTCGGGTACCCCAGCAATTCATCAGTCTGTCACATTGCCAGATGGCCTCAGGTATTATCTTCTGGCAAATGAATTAGCTTGTCATATTTTTCTTGAGCAAAGGGCTAACAGTTGCACCTCACATACAATTTAATGCTTTCACATAAATTGTAGTGTCCCTCAACTACTTCCTTGTCTTCCTAAAGTCAATATTTGAGGGTCACTGGGTAATCTTCAGGGCATTAGAAAACTGTGGAGTGGAAAAAATGCCTCAAATGAAAAAGTTAATTTAGGGCTTTGACTGAGTGTGGTGGGTTGTGTTTATCAGTGGAGGGTAAGAAAGTGTCACTACATGAGTCCTTGTGGTATTTGTATGAGTTGAAAACTAATTAAATACATAATAAGAATTCATTCACACTGCAGTAAATATATGACAATGAACCAACAATATAACCTTTTATTTTGTCAATAAAAGTTAAAGATTACATTTTGTTGGAAGAAGGAACTCTACATTATAATCTCTTTTGTAAGGTGATTTAAATGTTTATGATCTAAACTCATGCTGTAAATCATATCATTTTATTACTGGTGTGATAAAGGAGATGATAATCTGTTTTATTTTGCTTCATATTACCACTTATGACTGAGGTTACCAATAATCTATTTAATTACCTCTACAATGCTGTATAAAGAAGATAATGTATCTCTTGAGAGAGCATGCTGCGGTCTAAGATGGGATCCATTGCATTATATTACTGACGCCAGATAAAGTGTACTTGTCTCACATAAATACGGTGACAGCTCTGAGTGCATTTTGTCATGATGGAACAATCTAATCCACTATTTGGTCTCCATAGAGTTCACCCCTTCTTGCTCCCTGTCTGTCTGCCTACAGCACAATAGACAGCCATTCTGATAAAAGTATGCTAGCACTGATATCCGGCTGCCTTTCTCTCTACTCCCCCCTTTAATGAGGGTATACAGTTCTGTGGCTTATCCTGCTACTTTTTCTTTCCAATCCCCCTTCAATCCTCCAGGGCTATAGCTGCTTTCTTTCCCTCTCATTCTATAGAAATAGAGGAATGTTTTCTGACTGACTTTTCCCTCTAAGCCCTTTTCAGGTTCCGGAGACATGAGGGGACACGTCTGCTGGAGGAAGACTTAGAGCTGCTGTGTGTGTATGTTTATTCAGAACAAGTTGAAGCTTGGTAACAGATTTATCTTAAAGAACTATTTTTTTAACTTAATATAGCCACCTTGGCAAGAACCCGAGCTCTCATGTGGGGTGGTTTGAGTGTACTGTACAACACCTATATGCTGTAGAAGTTTGTACAGACATCCATGTCCCCTGTACATTAATTATAATAGTTTTAATGGTTAACATTTCATCTAACATCATCAAGTCATCAATTTAAAATTTTCCAGTATTTTGGTTTATAATATATATCTTTAAAATTACTGGCATTCTGATAAGCTTCAGTTGTTCTTTGTGCTTAATGCAAATTAGGAACTGGCGTTGAATTATATAAATTATACCAATACAACTGTTACTTTAGAAGCTTTACCTGATGTCAAGGCCTGTATATGTTGTGAGAACATTCTTGCTGCATATCATATGCGACTGCTGTTAGCCTACTAAATACAACCTCATCATCTATTAGCAGTGAAACCTGCTAATAATATTAACTTTGATTAACTTAAAATCAGATCAATCACTTACTCACTATGCTGAATTAAATCGGTTTTGATAAAAGAATGAAAAATCAATTGGCTAATCAGAGGAGCCTAACAAAGATTTTCTGTCTAATCAGTGTTAGACAAATCGGGATGTAAAGCCACAATATCATGACAATGATGAGTTCTCTGTTCATTAACCATATTACATTGGCTACATGTGTGCATTCAGTAAAAAATAAAAGCACACAAGCAAAATACTTTAAAATACCTAAAATACACTGAGTACTTTCTGCAGTAATGACAACTAAGCCAACTAGACAATATCAGTTACTAAAAAATATACATTTAGCTCAAGGGAATGTGCAGTTTAATGATAAGACATACTTCCAATTTATAAAAATAAAATAAATTCATCCAGCTATCTCTCTCACTCACTGAAAAAAATGCCCAACATCCTACCTGAACATCTAACACAGTAACAGAGATTACGACAAGAGTATTTTTCTCATTATTTATTTCGCAATTGTTCCAAAAACACTTGCAAAAGAACATCTTAAAGTTGGTCAAGTAGAAAAAAAAACAAAGAATGTTTAATACTTTGTTTTTCACCTTACAATTCTGCCATGTAAATTTTGAGTCTATATTTAGTCTAAATCAGAGAGCGAACTGCTAGTAGGCATTTCCAGAATTTATTTCTTTCCATCATATATAAATATCCAGAAATCAAGCTCATTTCCTAAAGCAAAGCTAAGAAAGAGTTAAATGACTGGATAGAAGAGATTAGCTGACTATAAAATATACAGTTTTTAAAATTTAACTTAATATTCACATTCATATATAAAACTTACAAAACCTGGATCTTCCAAACTCACTAAAAATAGTTTTTTTTTCTGTTACTGCTGAAAGATCATTTTAAATTACCATAAATTTAATGGACTATTTCTGTATTATCAGCATCATTAATGTCATAATTTCTGCCATACTCTCTTTTGTTTTTTTTCCAGATTTTTTGATTCATTTCAAAAAACATAAGTCAATAAATTAACATGCTACCTCAATCCCTGAAAGCCAATACTCAACTGTGTTACTGAGTGAGATTAAGACAGGTGTTTGTGTATAGTAAAGTGTGTATTCATGGCTGTGTGTGTGTGTGTGTGTGAAGAGAAATATAGGACACTTAACCTCTTAGCATACCTGCCTACTGGTGAGCACCATCCCTAGGGTAGGGATGGTGGCGTTATTTCAGAGTCCATACAAAAAATTATACATTATACTGTGTATTTTTTTTTCTTCAAAATAATTGGAAAGGTTTATCAACTGTAAAAGAAATGCATCAATATTACAAAATAAACAGGAGAGTAGTTTCTACATGTGCTCTTCTCCTATGCCTCTGTTTTGTTAGTCAGAGCTTTGTCTCTTAGTCCTTTTCCTATTACTCTTTCCTCTTCTTTGTTTTCAGTTCACATCGGTCCATACATTCCTCCAGGAGCAAATAAGTCTTGGAATGCCAGCCACTGGACTCTTGGGATCTCCAAACAATTAACATAGTCGAATGCAAAAAAGGAAAAAAAAATCTCCAGGTATAAACAGGAGAACCAAGATTAAAAGTCTCTGTGTTTAGGGGGGTTCCCCAGGAAAGTGGGGCCCGCTCCTGTCCTTTAAGACCTCATGTGACTGTGTAGTGTATGTAGTGCATATGCATGGCAGTATGAGTGTATAACAGCAGCACTGCAACCAGCCCAGCCCCATCTGGATCCATTAGTCCACTGGAAACCAGAGGGGTGATGGGGTGGCAGGAGGTTGGGGATGATTCCAAAGAGGGTGCCTCTGCCATATGTTTTGGGACACTGAGGGGGAAGGCTAGGGCAGGGCAAGCAGGTGTAGGGGCGGTGAGTGGGAGTTCATGTTTTGACGTTTCCATTGATCTGCTGGTACTTGGGGAGGCAGGGCTCGTCTGGTAAGGGGTCGTGCGAAAACACAGAGTCGTCGCCGGAGGAGCAGGAGCTGCGAGTGTCAGGGAAGCTGGAAAAGAGAGGGTTGGGTGAACTAATTTACCCTCAGACACAAATTCATATGCAAAAAAAAAAAAAAAGACACATCGAAGGAGCGAAAAGTAAAAGACCTAGAGCAAACAGGAGAACATAAATATAGTACAGAAACCCAGTCAACAAGAACAGGGACTTTCCAGAGGAGGGTGGGGGAGGTGGAGGAGAAGAGTATCACCTTCATTATGATATTTATCTAAATCATACCAACTCACCCTGTAAGGATTTAAGAAGCAACTGGATACTGTATAAAAATATTTGCAAGAATAATAGGTAATAAACTGAATGTTGGGCTGCTGGCTGATCCAGCAGAGTTTGAAGATAGCAGGGTTGACCTAGTTATAGTTTTGGTCCACTACAAAACCGGGGGAAAAGAGAATACGTGGCAGAGATCTGGAATGTCAGTCTTTACAGCATCCCCTCACATCACTCTCAAGTTCAGTCCAAACAAATCTGACATCTCACACCGAAACATCCAGCATAAACTTTATGGCCTGGAAAAAGTAAAGGCGCTGGCCGAACATAGCTCTCAGCCCCCCAATAATTATAAAGATGAACAAAGATGAAAACCCCAACAAATCCTGCTATTAATTTTTGATTCAGTCCAGTTGACTGAGGCGCCCCTTTGCCCTCATCGTATTCCATTACTGGGCCTAGTTGTGAGAAGGCAGAGTTTTTGGGGGTTTCTAGAAAATGAACACTGGCTTCCAGTTTCCTAACTCAACACGAAAAGGCTCACATTACTAAAATCTTACACATCTGCCAGCGGTTTTGCGGCAGAGGGAAAGGGGAGGAGGGGGGAAAGAAAAAGGTGCTTTATTTCATTTCAAAAGTTCAAACCCAAAGTTGAGCTTTTTGGCATAAATTCATGAAGTTCCAAATCCAGAACATACGAATCCTTACAGCGTTCCATCGATGGCCTCTTTTCAGTTCAACACGTGGATATCACACAAGACAGGGAGGGGAATGGAAAGAAACGTAGGCCATTGTAGGGAGTGAGGCATGGATTTCTGATGATTGGGCAACTTCACTCAGCTGTAGCAGCCATGTTGGGCCTGTATCAAATCCTCCAGCCATATTTTTTTATCACCATTTAGACCTTGTTTTAAGCAAGGTAACTGCTAATGCTCATAAAGCTTTCAGCAACATTCAGCTGAACCCTGCATGCACTGGCAAGAGCCTGAATTAGTTTGGACTGAGAAACATGTTACTGTGCGGAGGAATGTATCATATTATTCTATTTTGTTATGAAATTCCAGACTCCAATTTGCCAGGAAATAATCAGGTTTGTGTAGCATGAATTCTGACCACCCTTTATCCAGGAGCTTTATGGAATAAAAACATGTGTGAAGAAGAATGACAGAGCTGTACTCACCTCGTTGGTGCTGAGGGTAAGGATGCGATCCAGATCTTCTACTAGCTGCTTGAAGGTGGGTCTCTGGGATGAGATGGCATGCCAGCAGTCTTTCATCATCATATACCTGAGAGAGAGAACATTAAAATTAGTTTACATAAAGTACAGGAGCATACAAAGGGAGAGAACAAAAAAAATTCACTATTAACTCTCTCCAAACTCAAGCTGTGCCACTCCTCGACTACCTTGTCTTCAAGTTTCGAAATCTGCCAACTGAAATGATTCATGTCTCTGGACATGTATCCAAGAATAAATCAAAATAGAAGCGTTCTCTGACACCATCTCATTTTCTTACATTTTGATGGCCTGCTGCTGATCACAAACATCCCTCCCAGTGCTTTGAATGTCTTTTAAATATTTATGTGTCATGCACTGCTCTCTACTTTGTTCGCCATCAACCATCTCAGTGTGGCACCATTGCAGAGCTGCGCCATTGTCCACTGACTGCAGAGACTCATTGTGAATGAAAGCAGCCGGTCACAGCTGTGCAGAGACCTAACAGAGCAGTCACAGAGCTACAGAGTAATAGATCTGATGGAGACAGGGTTAGTACTGAGTCCGGGTATAAGAAGGAGTGTGTGTATATGAGGAGCAGTTTGGTTAGGGAAGATGCCAATTTGGCAGAGAATAGCAAAACCTACAGCTCATTGGTGCAGTTGCCAGGCTTATCCATGCGATGGCCCTCTTTGAGCAACTTGAAGAGCTCTTCAACAGGAATTCCAGGATAGGGTGAGCCCCCTAGGGTGAAGATCTCCCACATCAGCACCCCAAATGACCAGCTGGTAAGGCAGAAACAGATATATAGTCATGGTAAACAAGAATGATTCCTAAACAGCAGGACTAATATTTATGTAGCCTTGGTCAAAGTTTGGAAACGACTTCAACAGTATGACTGCAGCGGTGTCAATGCCCTCTTTCTGTCAATGGCTTATGGCGTGAACCCACTCCCAGTTCCACTCTGGCTCTGATCTCAATGATGGCTTTTGTGCCTGGCTGGCCAGTGACACTGACTGGCATTGTCCAGTCACACCCCACCAAAACAAACAGTGGATGACCCACAATGGACAAAAGAGATGGGAGAGGTCCAGAGAAGGCTGGTGACTATTAACTATTTACTACTTCCTCATAACAGTATCCGATAGTTAAATATTAGTGATTCCCTACTGCTGATTTCCATCATTTGCCACATGTTTGTATTCAAGATTTAGAGTGTCTCTAGTGAATCATTCCTGCGCTGACAGCGAGCTCAATTCATGTCCACACAAAACGGTTCTATTATAACACAGGGAGATGCTTACAAACACTAATGTACGTGTGCATTCATTCAGCTGCGGGTCATGTCAGTGGGCCATCTAGGCTGGTAGGTGTGGACGAGCAGGTTGGGTATTTATCAGTTCCTCCAATTTATTTACACAACCGGCCCCAGGTTTGCTCTCTACTCTATCACTGTGTTGTATCTCTCCACTTGTTGACACGCTCATCTCTCCTTTCTGTGCTACTTTGTAACTGTCTCTCCGTGCTTGGTCTGTGCAGGTTTGTGTCCACCTGCAACTAACCGTGACTCACCAAATAAACACACACACCAACATGCTCCGGGTCACTTTAAATGACCTGGCATTTGACCTTACTAGAGTATTGTTATGTATTCCAGCCAAGTAGATACACTGAAGAATTGAACCATTAATATAAATGTGATTCTATATTAACAGGTTCTATATAGTGGAGTTATTCATATCTCATTACCTTCATATATCTTAAGCAGTCAGGTTGTACATTGCTCTGCTGCTTAAGTTTATGATACTGACTGAAATATAAATGTCAGAAAACCACTCAATACATTTACAGACATCAGTGGATCTGATCAAAACATAGAGATTCAAGGCAGTGAAACATGGTGTAGGAGGAGGAGCTGAAGAAAACCCTTTGCTTTCTTGTTGAGGGGGAATTTAATCCCCTCCCTCATCCTTTGCCTCCACCAAGCCTGGCCATGATACCGTCTCTCTGAGCTTGAGTGACAACTCTTAACTCATACCTACACCAGCGAGAGCTGAGTCCCCTGGGCCCATTTGTCAAAACAACAAGCAGCGAGTTTCATTGGAATTAATGTATTCATTTAATCTGATGTCATGTATGAATCGCTGCATATGTGGTAATGTCTGAATTAAATCCACCAGCCTCAACCTCCCCGAAACCTCTTCTCATCTTGCCTTTCCCTCCATACACCGTGTAAAAAAGCCAATTAATAAAAGCGAGAGATGAAATGTAATTAGCAGCGAGCTTATGGAAAGGACCACCACTCAGTGCCTGCAGCCCCCCATTCAGCTGCCTGTACTCCTTGAGGTTACTGATTGATGTTGTGCTATGAAATATGAAGGGCATGTTATGTATACATGTTATTTATGTACACAGACACAGGCAGTGCTCAGTGGATGAGTGTTGTTTCTGTGAATGATTCATAGACCGACACACACACACACAAATCTCCTATCCCAGGGGTCAGCGTACCAGGCATGAATCTAATTGCCACATAAACTTTTTGATGCATGAATCTAGAGCAGAAACAAGACTGTCAGAATGCATAGGACTCAAACACCAAAAAGAGAGGGGTGCTCTCCCTTTGTTCTGTTCTTAGAATGGGTGCTCTTGAGCTTAAAAACAAAATAACAGAGACACAAAGACGGGTCAGCAATTCTCATACCAGATGAATGAAAATAGGAATGATGGGGTAAAAAGGAAGGAAGGGGAGGCTTATTTTGATCATGGAACAGCTCCACATGTTCAAAGTGTTACTGAATGAGGAGAGGAGAGTGAAGAGGGATGGCAGGGGGTTAAAGGAAGAGGAGGGTGTAGGAAGGATGAGGCCCGGACTGGAGGGCTGCAGCATTGTGGTGCTCAGACATCTGTGGAGGCCCAAAAGGAGGGGGAGACTTCCAAGCTGAGCTGGAGGAGCGAGGGCTGGGGCAGTGGAGGAGGAGGTGCTGGTGGGCTCCGGGTTCCTTCCAGAGCCCTTTGAAGCCAGTCAGATTAGTAACACAGCATTGGCTACAAGTCTAGTGTGAAATCCTCACTTTTGCTGTAGTCCGGTCATAGCTGGCCCCCTGTAGTTAGTCACCCCCACCCTAACACTTCCCAGTGCTGCACCAAAACACCTCACCCACTCCCTGCTCCTGTACTCCTGAAAAACAACCCAATCTGACTCCAGGCCACAGATAACCAGCTGGGTTCCTAATTAAATCTCACAAATAACAGTTATGATCTATTTTACTGTATTTTAATAAGATTGCATCACCAATGTGTGTAAGTGGATTCTGTATTAAGTATTTGTGGTTGTAGGACACAGAAACTTACACATCACTCTGGTGTGTGTAGACCCGGTCAAATAGTGCCTCCGGAGCCATCCATTTAACCGGGAGACGACCCTGCAAACACAAACAGGTGAGAGGTAAAAGAAAATCTAGATACATACCAAAGCCAAACTCCTAAACTCCTGGCCTGATCTGCATGTCTGAACTGATTCAGCACTGGGACTTCTCATTACTCCTGGAAAGGATGATATGTGCAAGCAGCCTGGGGAATACAGTACTAGAATAGCAACTGTCTGGGAGGACGATTTCCCAGAGGAACATTTACATTGTTAAAGCAACAGCGCTGATAAACAGGGTCACAGATAAAGGAGAAAGTTTATCTCTAAGAGCTATTAAAACACTGGCTGGAAAGCTAAATACAGCTGACAAGGCGACCTTGGTCAGTATCGGTGTAGTAGCCTAATGGTATTAATGGTATCTCACCAGGCACTCTGAATTACTAAATGGTGGGATAACACCTAAATAAATTCTTATGAAACAGATTTTTCACCTGATGCGATAGGGAAATAATACTAATAATAACCAAAAACAAACTTACTACAACCAAAATTAGAAATATGAAAGAAAAATTGTAAAAAAACACGTAATATATAATATATAAACAAAATCTGAATTAGGATTTTTCATTTCATTCATCATCATTTTATAAAATCATTTAGTATGCATCTATCATACTTTTTCACAAGGCAATAAATAGATATTTAACACTAATAAGGCCACTGTGAATTGTTCAATTTTTATCAAAATAAAAACAAAAGAAAACGAACAAAACCGCACCACTGGAGCACTACAATGATAGCTCTGTTTAAATCATCATCACTGTCGACGCAGTCATTGTCCTAATCACATTACCATCAGCATAATCTCATATTGTTGTTGTTGTTGTTGTTGTCAGCCAGTTCTCAGCATGATTGCGTATGCAATGAAAAGGAAACCATGCATACTAAATGAGCATTTGTAGGCCATGCTGCTCTACGGTGGGAAAGAAAGACACTACTGGATCACTATGGCCATGTCAATTATGTTTAAACTGATTCCCTCTCACTCTCTCTCTTTCTGACTAATTGAATAAGTGTCTGTCGAACCAAAACAACAAGAGACTGAGAGATAAACAAGGAACACTCCTCAGAAGTGCCACATTCACAGGCTGCCTGGGAACTTGCAGCTTCTGCCAAGACACCAGCCAAGGGACAGAGTGAGACAGAAAGATGGAGAGAGGGAATTATTAGAGAAAAGAGAGAGACGAGTGGACTAATCTCACACTGCAGATCTCAAAGACATTCCACTCCCTCAAAATGCTCATCTCTCAATGTGTGGCATGCAGGTTGAGGACTCACATTGGTTGTCTTTTTATAGTAGTCAATGTTGTGGACATCCCTGGCCAGGCCAAAGTCGGCGATCTTCATGACATTGCTCTCTGTGACCAGGACATTCCTGGCTGCCAGGTCTCTGTGTATACACTGGCATGGAGAACGGAGAAAGTGAGAAATGGGGTGGGAGAAAAGGAGACAGCAGACGGGAGGTCACAAAAGTGGGAAAAGTGTGGGTAAGAAAGAATAAGACAGCTACCTCTTTCTATACATACTGTAAGTCATCTCTAGAACAGGGGTGTTCTTAGTTTGCAGTGGTGTTCAAATGTCTGTTGTGGGTGTAATCATCCAGTTGTTTTCTTTGCATCAGTGTGCATGCATGTACTGTGTGCATGTGTGTACTTGTATGGTCAGCAGTGTGAGCACTGGTTTGGTCTTGGGAAAGTGAGCAAAGCCTGGTCCTGACTTGTTCACACTCCTTCAAGGGGCTGTGTGACGGTCAGGACTTGGTATTAGGGTTTAGGTTAGGGTCGGGTTTGGGCATTTAGTTATGATAGTAAAGGTTAGGCTATGGGGCTGGGGAATGCATTATGTCAATGGGTGTCCTCATAAAGATAGCTATACAAACACGTGTGCATGTGTGTGCGTGTGAGACAGTATGTTCAGTCACATTCCAACAGTGAGAGGGCGCAGCGGCCAACATGGCTGGCCCCTCGTTGTGAAAACTTCACAATCCTTCTACACAGAAGAGTGTTTGTCATGGATTGAGGGACAATGCAGGAACTGGGAAGGGGGTCAGAGTGTGTTTTTAGCAGAAAATATTCCCACAGTGACACAGAAGCAAGCTTCCTATGTAAAACCCTTGTGGATACAACACATCAAACACTGTGTGTACTGGCACAGAGATCTGCCTAGGTGGCCAGCAGGGGGACTGGTGTGAGAGCAGTGTGTTTGTGTGCTGTCCTCATACCTTCTGTGATGCTAGGTACTCCATTCCCCGCGCCACCTGGTAAGTGCAAGAGACCAGATCTTTGAAAGTAAGCTGTTCGTCTGAGACACGGGCGATGTCGTAGGAGTATTCCATGCCAGGCGGCCTGCGGGCTCGGAGGTACTCCCTAAGGTTGCCTTTGGAGGCATACTCCACTATGACATAGAGGGGGCCTGCGGCAGATAAAAGACACGTCACTGTTTGAACATGGAGCAAAACTCAGAGTGAATTTTTTATGAAACACATGAAGAAGGGGCCCATCTTATTTGAATGTTAACACTTTAAATCTGCTGCTTGCTTTGATAAAATTTCTTTTCAAAAACATGAGGAAGTCTGTATGAGAGTTGTGAAAAGGGGCATAATTGCAAGTGGGCTGTAGATTATATCTTTTCATTCTTCACACAATCACGACTTCACCGATGTCCTCAGTCTTAACTCCTCTTCATGTTCAGTTAAAATCTAGTCTCTTAATATGATAAACAGCTTCTAGTTGCCTCCAAAAAAGATGAAACACCTTGGCATACACTACCTGTCTGATGTGGTCTGATAACACTTTTTATGAATTTGTTTGAAACATGCACAAATCATTTGTACAGCATTATACAAAAAGTTAACAAGGCAGCTCATGTTGCAACGCTTAGTACTCCACAGTACCTACAAATAATAAAAATGTGTTTAAAAAAGTATATTACTTGCAAAAAAGTATAATTTGAATCCCTTCTTAAGACAGTACTGTGTGATGTTGTGTCCTGTCCTACTCACCATCTTGTGTACAGGCCCCCAATAGATTAATGATGTTCTTGTGTTTTCCAATCATCTTCATCATTTCCATCTCTGACACCAGGTCAGACAGATCTTTCTCAGTGGCATCATCTAAGAAGAGACAAAGTTGGATTGAAGGATGTGATAGGGAAAAAAATTCATTATCTGCTCCACAGGCTCCTTTTTCATGGGGCTGATTGAGCCAGGAGAGGGATCCAAGCAGTCAGAACGGCGCTGCCTGCATTCCCCTGCACCGTTACCTTACCGGGAGTCATTCTAAAGAGCAGATTTCTATTGTCAAGGTAGGTCCAACAGCCTGCTGCTGTACGTGTTCTAACTCACCACCCCCCACACACCCAGTGCTCTCTCCTGTTGCTTTCATTAATCACAGCCATGCTGCTAGTGTGACTTACCTCTTTGTGTGGGTGCTGACTGAGCTCCAGCCAGCTGCTGCTCTGGGGTCAGGTATGTGACCACCCCTTACCTTTACCTACTCAACCCGCCTCTCCCTAACTGTCAGTCAGCAACCACCAATATCAAATAATAATGACAGCACCGGTCTCCGCCTTGTTCTTTGCTGAACCTTCACTGGAATATAAATCAGCTCTAAAATGTACTTGGGCTGCCCTCAAGACATAACAAAGCAGTGTGCATCTTATCCCAGTGGTCAGATTTTAAGCACAAGTCAGACGTTTACCATTACAAGCTCATTGTGATTGTGCATGAGCAAGAGACCCACTTACCTTTCAGCATCTTGACAGCAACAGTTACAGCCTCCTTGGGTTTGTCTTTATCAATGCCCAGGGCCTCTGCCATTACAACTTGGCCAAAACAGCCTTCACCTAGGGGCTTGCCCAGGGTCAACCTGCAGCCACCAGACAGCAAACACAACAGGGGAACCAAGAAAAAACAGACAGGAAGTTGATTAGCTGCTGAAACACAATCTAAACAGTATCAACTTGATCTGACTATGGCATCATTTCATTCCCTGTGCAGAAATAAATAGATTAAGTATGAGACTCAGAGAAGGGAATGAAACCAGGCACCAAGCCAGTTTCCCAACCTCACCCTGTCTTTTTTTTAAACTAGGTTGTCCTCTCTGTTTCAATCAGATTGTGTCTGTGTGAGTGCTTTGTTGGCGCAGTGACTGCAGCTCGTGCCAGGGCAGTAGGTAGGAAGGCAGACATGGCAACGATAATCACCTGATAAAGCTAAGGAGAGGCACTCATTTCTAAACTGTTTACCGTGCGTTGGCCTGTTCCAGTATACACTCTTTACAAATCGTTACACAGGGATAAGGTTAGCCTCCACATATTATCTGTGATGGATGGAATGCTGGCTTTGTGTGGCTACACCAGATGGAAATGTAATTACTATTTTATTGTTAACAATGTCACAATAGCTGGTGTGATAAACTTTGTGTCTAAACTATATCACACTAATTGATATAGCGAAGGAAGTACACTCACAAACAGGCTTTTTCCATCACATCCACCACTCCTAAATGAACCCTGAACTAGCAGTGTACCCCAGTGTTCTTTCATTTGATTGACAGATGTTTGTCCCACCCCTAAGGCCCAGTGTCCTGGCTATGTAAACACTGACACTGTGTGCTGCAAAGCCTAAGCCCTGAGGCCGGTGCTCTGCTGTAGTAACACAATTCCCTATCTGTCCAGATCAGATGTTCATCAGAATGCTATTCTGCACTACTGAGTTTAGCATTGCATCAGAATAGTTTTTTCCACTGATGAGTGATTTCAAATTTTATGATCTCAGCTCTTTTTACAACCATTTTAACAAAAGACAGACATTCATTTTCATGAGCTGGGATTTTCCATTTTCGTTCAGACCCAGAGACCTCAGGTGGGTATTAAACTACTCTAACCTTTGCTGTCCTATTACTTTAAATCCACCCTGAAGCTTATCACTGGCTGCAACTGTGACTAACTGAAATCTCAGTGGTGCTAACTCCTCTGGTATGAAAATGAGCAAACACTCCTAGCCCAGACATGTAGATGAAATACATGAATGCTAACCACTAATTAGCATGGCTTTGTTGCTTACCATTAGAAGCATGTGTGTATGTGAAAGTGATATAACAGCAGTTGTAATGATGAGGCAGGGGCCAGGGTGGCAAGTTCAGGTTACTTTACTTGAGCAGCAACAGATGAATCATTAGTCTTTAACTAATGATTCATCTTAGCCACCACATCCATTATTCACCAGTGACTCATTACTGCCTGCTGTCCATCATGACCATTTAGCAGCTAATATACAATCAGACAGATGCTCACTGCATTGTAATATTGGTGTTATCAGCTACTGTAATATGCCCTATTAGTGAAAGGTAGTTATATAGGGCATTGAGGACAAGAGCCAAGGATATAGCACTAAAATGTTTCATGCACATTGCCATGCCATGTATTATATACAGACCCTGAAACCCAAGTGTATTATAAGGACCACTTTATTATGAAAGTGGCCCCACATATAATTGTTTTATTGAAAATGAAAAATGCTTAATTATGTCAATTTTATTCAGGTACTGGATAAAATTGACATAATTAAGCATTTTTCATTTTTTTTAATGTGAGATTTGCACTTAGAGCTAAGTCATAATTACTATTAATGCAAAGCTTTAATTTTCATGAGTCACTGAAAGCAGACAATCACTTAATCATATTTTCTTAGCAACAAACTCTACCATATAGTTTAAACTTGTTTCTGAGGTAAATTATCCCACAAAACTGAAACAGACAGTCCTCACCTGTCTCGAGCAAATTCCCAGAGTGGATCCTCTGGAAGGTCGTACTCAGGGATTGGCTCGTCGTGTGCAGAGCTCCGCCGTGTTGTAATGCGTACCAGAGGTGTACTGGAGTTCATAGAAGAGCTGGAGTCTGAAGATACCTACAGGAGGAAAGCAACTGGCTGATTACTGCAGTCTGGGCTCACAGGTCAAATAGAGCTCCAAGACATCACCAGAGGAGACCCAGTAATAAATGTATGCTTGACTGATTGTGGTACTTTTACTGAAAGTAACAATAATGTCGGTAAGTATGTACATTTATGAGAATATATCCTTACTTTCTATGGTTAATGCTGTAAAATTACAGCAGAGTCAATTTCAGAGATCATTAAGAAGTGAGCAACAGCAAGTGAGCAATCATGGAGCCTCCCCACTGTCTCCGGGGCTCATCTCACGTTCCTCCACTGTAACCTTACCTTGACACAGGAATCAGTCTCTCCACAGAAGGTAAGTCAACACTTTTCATACTTTTTGGAGCACAGTTTTTGGTTTCCCTTGAGACAAAAAGTAACTCAGGCTGCAGTTTCATGCAGCAATGCTCAGTGCTCAGTGTGGCCTTCAAAATGAGGCTGGAGGCACAATATTTAAAATATCAGTATATGCTATGGTATGTAGATTTTTTATGTATACAAAATCCAAGTAATAAATATTTTTAAAAATGTATCAACCATGCAACTTTTATTATATGTTTTCATTTATGGAAATGATCTAGAGTTTGTTGTCTTTGTATTTCTGCAACATGTCTGCAGTGTGTATGTGTTTCTCCTCTAGGGGTGTTAGATGTCTTTAGAACTCTTTATCTACTTTCTGTTACCTGGCGGCGCAGAGGGATCTGTTTGCTCAGTTTGTGAACTGCTGGTTGGCCCCCGAAGTCAGGTTTCTTTGCAGTGTTCCTCATGCGGCACATCACCACAATCCCCACCATGCAGGCAATGAGGAAGACACCCGCACAGTATATTCCGATCTCCACATAGTCTGGGGAAAGGGGCTCTGGGGATTTCTCGACTGCTGAGGAAAGTAAAGGGGGAGCAATGAGATAGAGATCAGGCAAGAAGAGTTGGAGGAAGACACTCAAACACACATATGAGTGATACACTTCCTTTGAATAGACACACGGTTAACAGGCAGATGGAGACAGATGCTCTGGAGATGACTTATGACTTAAATGTAATCACCATTGGTGCGCAAAGTAAACAGAAGTGATTTTGTAGCATCCTCCTCTCTCTTCTTCTTCTCTGGGGTTTTTTTTTATCTAACAGCCTTGTACAGTGCCTAACAGTTTAAACAGATTTTAAATTTTCAAGCAGCCAATACAGCCAAGTCTCCATATGTTTGCATTCTCTGTTAATGTCAGAGACACGCGAGCTCAAATACAAACACGCCCACGGACGACGGAACAATACACGCTTCACTTCAGATCAGAAACAAGGGAGAGCAGTGTCCTTTGTGGCTGTATATTGCCTGTCAAGGAAATTAGTAGAGAGTGTGTGTGTATGTGTGTGTCCATAATGCAGACCACAAACAAGGTTCTTGTGCGGTCAGCTCAAAGTGAAGCTACATGTAAGGATCTTTCTCCTGCCTGTCTCATACTGTATCTGTTGCACAAAGAGAAGCCACAGTCTTGATGGCGCCATCAGTGCAGATAGAGCACGTCGAGGGCAATAAATATTACATATCACTCCCAGAGGAAATGGCATGCCTGTGATCATTATGCTATGTTGTTTACAGACAAAACAAAACTATTACCTCATTACAACATTACAAGACAGGGCTGCTGAGAGCCACAGACAGCTGACTACTCTCACTGATCTCATTTAATGGCCACCCTACTTTCAGCTAGAACTCATCTGTTGAGCCTGGAGTGAACATGTACAGACACTGACAAAGTTTTATGCATCTGATACAGACAAAAATAGCATAAAACAAGTTGATAACTGAGAACAAATGGACAAACATTCACATGCATGAGTCACTGACTAGGAAGAAGTGGAGAGTTTTGGCCCTGAAAATTGAGAAAGTCAAGCAAACTTGAAGCAAGCGTTGAGCTTTACCTTTCGTTCTTTATTTCAAAAAGAAATGAAGATCGATTAGGCAATTATCAGAGGCAAGAAAGAGGTGGAGATCATTTTATAAGTTAAATACATGTGAAAAAAAATCTCACATGCAGAAACAAAGCGTGGCACTGAAAGATTTTCCCTAAGGAGTAAGAGGGAGCTGTAGCATAAAGCAAAGAGAAGGCAGGAGACAAACCCTCCCCTCCTTTTGGAGTCTAGAGATGCTGGAGCTGCTCTGGGAGCTCCACCTCCATCTCAGAGTTATAATAACTCATCTACACACTGCCCCATTATCTACTCAGAGCTTCCAACAGCTCACCAATCCAAAGAGTATTATAGAGTATATGGTCCATGATCTTATTTTACATTTTCTTGAATGTTAATCATACTGGTTCATCACACTAATTGCTTCAGACTCTGAAGGGACAACTTTGCCTCCCATAATGGTCAATGAAGTGACATAATTCAAGCATTTAAGACAAGAATAAGAAGAGAAAATGAAAAAGAGAGGACAGTATACAAGTGTATATACCTGGAAGCACCGTCAACCAAGCAGTGTGATAGGAGATCCCAATAGAATTACCCGCCAAGCACGTATACTCCCCAGCATCTTCAAATGTTACATTGGGCAAGGAGAGAACTTCTATCTCCTTATCTGTAGTGTTAACACCTGCAGTCTAGGAGACGAAGAGAGGAGAAAGAGGAAAATGAAGGGGTGGAAAAGAAGAAAGAAGGTTGGAGATAAGAATGGAGGGGGAATGGAAAGAGAATGACAAGTCACAGAGAAAGATGGAGTAGGACAGAGAGAGAGAAAGAGAAAAAAATGAGACCCACAACACCAAGAGTGAAGTTAGAGTAGCTGGATGGTGTCCATCGTGGAGGTTCCATCTAAAGCAAAGGATTTTGGGAGTATCCGTGGGAGAGGAGGAGGAGGAAGCGTCATAAACAAAGACACAAACAGAACCCATTTTGCCACTCAAACATGGGGAAATGGAGACAAAACACCATAAATAAAAACCCCAAAAGGTTCCCATCACCAACACAACCTGCTAACAGAGGCCAGTCCAATCCAAACATTGGACTGGACACATGCACAGAGAACATGGAAAACACTGCACTGCAACACCATACACCATCTTGACACAGCTTGCAAGACAGAAAAAGATGTGACAAAAATTTAAGATAAGACAAAGTCAGATGCTAGCTGTGACAATTTCAGTGTGTAGGTATGCAGGTCAGACCAGTGTTTCCATGGCTGCACCAGTCTCAGCAGCTGAAACACAAGGGTCTAACAATTAGAGAGAGAAGGTCTGTGAGCCCCAGGACCACCAGGAGACCACCAGCAGAACCATCACAGCACAGCAGGTCAGGGACGAACCCCAGAAAACCACACTGGGAGAGAAGGAGGGTAGGTGGGGTCAGGTCTTGATGGTTACCTGGGATGACCGTCAGCCAGCCTGACTGGCTGGCCTCCCCTATATAATTGGAGACTTTACAGATATACTCTCCAGCATCGTCCTCCGTCACATTGGTGAGGGTGAGCATCTCCACATCTGAGCTGTTAATGCCTGAACGCTGCAATCCACATATACACAAACTTAGACATTAATATGTAAAGATCAGACAAATAAGTAGAATTAATCAGACAGATATGCCAACATCATGACTACAGCTACTGTATATGGATCTGCAGGAGAGAGGGCAGATCAGGAATCAGCACCAAGAACAAACATGGAAAAGACCTATCAGTTTATAGGGAAGGAAGTACAGTATTAGTTCCTTATATGAGCACTGAGATTCATCTGAAGCACCTGCAACCACTGGCAAAACAACAAGAAGAAAAGAGGGAAGGACATGCTTCTAACATGAGAATACATCTCAAAAAGAAGAAATGTCAGAATTTACCTTCAGCACTCGGACGTAAGGGTGTCCGTCGGGGCCATACTGACTGCCATTCTGAGTAATGTGCTTCAGCCACTGGATATGAGGCTGGGCATCGCTGTAGACCTTGCAGACAAAGCGGGCATCCTCTCCGACGTGTACAGTGGTGTTGGCTGGTAGACCAGCCTGGAGAATAGGCCGGTGAGGGGATCGTTCTGTTGAGGGTGAGAGAAATGTTAGTTTGTTCATTTCTCACTTATAAATATGTTGTCTTGTAGGGAGTTGTTTCAAAAACATGGTTTGTCTTTAAGAATCATATAGTCAAATCCGAAGCTTTTGGGATGTGTGAATTCTGTGAGAGAGTTTATCTTTGCAAAAGCAGAACTGCATGTACTGTGAGCGTGAAAGTTTCCCAGCAACCCTGGCAGGTAAAATCATGACTGCTGCCTCTTTCTTATCTCACAAGCATTTAAAGGCTTTACACAACACAAAGAAAAGATGTGGAGGCATGTATCTCTTAAAGACAAAGAACTGTAGGTGGTAGAGGAGGACTACCATACAGTGGGGTGTATATAGTGAATTAAATAAAGGGGTCAAGCTAAATAATGTGCCCCTCTCAAAAAGTGGAACACCTTCATAGCATCCCCACATCTCCAGCTATCTGCATTCTTTTACAAGCAAACATTTGGACTGTGAATCCAAACAGAGCAAGACCTCCTGAACAATGCTCCCTTTCAAACAGTGCTCTGCCTGCACCACCACACCGAGGAGCCCACCAACCCCCACACTGACAGCAAAAATCCACACTCACAAAATGACATCACTCAGCCCAGGGCACTGCGTTGCTTTTCCAAAACAAAGCCTTGAGGTGGATGCAGTGGATTTGTTTGTGTGTGTGTGTGTGTGTGTGTAAGGTTGTGGGTGGGTCACTGGGGGATGGTCAAAGGATGAGGCTGAGTGATGAAGGCTAAGGACTGGGTTTAATAAGAAGGACTAAAGACAAGAGAAAGAATTGGGGGTGAGTGAAGGGAAGAAAGGGGATCAACAGATGGAGAGTGCAGAGACTAGGAGGCAGAGACTTCTTCCATATGTCTGCCTGCCTGTCTTCCTCCTCCATCTTTCTGAAATCTGTCAGATCAGATGATTCCCACCCCTCCTTCCTGCACATTCCTAGGACTCGCCTTGTTTACTGTCTGTCTACCCCCACCCCACCCCACCCCCCTCCATCCTTCACAAACCTTCTCACCCTCTCGATCTTTCCAGAGCAGGAGCTGGTAAAACTAAAATCTACCAATATGTCCCTTTGTAAAAGTTACCAAATAGAATACTATCTGGGATTATATACATTTACTAGAACAGGCAAAAGATAAAAAGTGGTCCTCTATTAAAGCTGTGGACATAAACTGAAACTGAAATAATCCATATAGAGGTTTCTTGGCAACACAAAGAACTTTTGGTCTGCCATCTTTTAAAAATTCATTCTAAGCTTTGTTAGAGCTGATCCAAATGACACAGCTGGAGCATGTAGAGCTGCACAGCTGACAACTCAGACCAAATCAGAAAATGGTTGTGTGATTCAAGAAAATCAGGATTATGGAGAAACCCCATAACAGTAACTCGGTCCCACAGTTCTGATTGAAAGAGTTGACTGTTTTGACTCCTCATTGCTATCTCTTTGTCATGTGTGTCTACTCATGGTGGATGTCCAACCCTTTCTCCAGAGGCCAGCTTGAAAGAGAAAAGGCTGGCTCCTTTTAGTTTTAATGGCTGATCCTACAGGTCATTTGGGCAGAACAAGACTGATAAGGCTGTCTGTTTCTGTCTCTGTTTCCCCCCATCCCCTCCCTCTGTCCACCCCACTGTAAGGGAGCAAACTAAAGGAGGAGGTTGCAGGGGGCAGTGGCTGTGGAGCCAGACATGGATGGGGTTTACTGCTCTGCAATAAAACAGAACAAAACGCAGAAATAGGCAGTCTGAAGGAGAGCTTTAGCTAACTCCAGAGGGGAGCAGAGCAGGGGGGCCTGAGATGGGGAATGTGTGGACCTCTGTGTGTTTGTGTGCATGTGCCTATGGAGTCACGGTGCAAAAACACTCAGGTATTCAATCTCCATCTGATATAATGAAAATAATGCCCCTTATTACCATGGAGACACTAATCAAAACAGAAGTATGTAATTACAGAAGGTCTATTCAGGACAATGGTGACACTGGGAGAACAAATCTAGATACAGCACAGGCTACTGGAGTGACAAGTGGCCCCTAAACGTTCTTCTGTAAATCAAACTGCTACAGCTGCATGTCTGTCTAAGTCGTCTGTGGATTATTGACTAACCTCCAGAGGGATAACTGAGCTCAGACAAACTTTAATGTGTACCGATTGCTTGTAGTGATTCCAGTGAAGCCAAAGGAGAGCGGACTCACATCAAATTAAGGGCAAAGTTGCTGAACACCCTCACATAAACACTCATGCGCACATAGACCTACTATCTTTATTCCACTCCCCTTGTTGTCCCCGCTGTCCATCGATTCTGCAAACAAAGCATAAAAACATTCTTTGCTTTCTGGGCTCCAAAGGTCAAAGCGAGGGGCTGACTGAGTTGGATCTGAACTCCCAGTAACAGCGCTGAGGCCAGCACTCTGTGTCCTCAGAGAAAGGTACTAAATGACCATCCGCTACCTGTTTAAGACCTATTAACACCTGAGCTGACTTTGAAGGGTCAGATAAGCCAAATGGCATAGACACAGAAAATATATTTTTCCACTTGCACCTTTTGGTATTAAGCCATTCAGTTTGATCTGTTTATATTTTATTAGGTTGTGATTCATAAATCATAAAAAATTGCATTAGAAAAATCGACAGTGTCCCTGTTACTTAGAACATTCAACACTTCACTCTCAGCACTTTCTGTGAAATATGTCTTCAATAAAAAGTAGTTCCAGTGAAAATGTTTTCCAGTGAAATTGTCCCTTAAAAATGGAAACTGGAAGCTTGCTTTACTCTTCCTGGACTTAAGATGGGTGGGGTTTTATGAAGAACAAAACTACCAAGAAATCCTAGTATGATGAATCCTCACCCAGTCATTTAAAATATAAATCATTTGACTAAACACACACTGACTAGATATTAACTACATTTACTATTATTATATAAATGAGTGAAAACTACAATAAAACTGCTGACATGTATCTTCAGTGTACACACACTTGGAAGCGCTCCTTGACCCGCACCCACAGTGCACCTGGGCAATCAAACGGCACACACACACACACACACACACACACACTATCTTCCCAGTGAGAACTTTTTCCACTGGCCTCCCTTTCTTCCAGCTCCCTCTCCCTCCATCTCTCCACACTTCCTTTATTGGACTCACAGGTGCACTATGAGCCCGAGTGTGTGTTTTGTGCTTGGTACTGACCTACTACGTCAAGGGTGTAGGTGTGGTTGATGGCTCCATACTCGTTCTCCACCAGACAGGTGTAGTTACCCTTATCCGATGGCACCACGCTCTCCATGATCAGGGTCCAGTGCTGGCTTCGCACCTGGATACAAGAGGCAGGGGTTTCTTATTATGAGCAGACACACTGATACACACCAATAAATACAAAAACATGCAGATGACTTTAACAGCTTATAAAGATCATAAAGAGCTGCAGCTAAATGAGAATAATGAAAATAAAACATCAAGAGGAGATTTGACTGGAAGCATGAAACAACAGATCAGATGCAGTGTGCTGGAAAACAGGCTTTCTTTATTCCCATAAGTCAGCTGCTAAGAAAAATATCACACTTTCCTTTTCTTTTACATTATTATCTTTCAGTCATGTTGAGATTTCTAACAACAAGACATGCCACACAGGTTTAGATACAATTTTTACAAAACTGAAATAGACAAATACCCACAATGCCTCCCTTATTCTGGGTAGTAAACCCCACCCTTTTAGCAGTTTCAAACACACAGTTGTTCATAATTTGCAAAGGTTGCTTAGCCTAGGTGTGGAACCCACAGGTGTGAGCTAACAATAGTGCTTCCGTCTACATGCTGAAGGGAGACTGTAGCTACTGCTTGTACAGGCCTACATTTCACACAATGGAGGGATTATGCCACAGGGCTGGGCTCAGGTATAGCTTTTGTTCAACATTTGTTGACAAAAAGAGAGAAATGAGCTGCCTGCACTGTATCATTTCCATGACATTGTGCTTGTTTATTATCTGCGCTGTAATAAACTTGCTGAAAGCCAAAGGGAAGCCACATTACCAGCTACTTCAGTGCAAGCTGCGCTTAAACTTTCCTGGCACGGACATTTTTTTCCCCATTTACCGGCGGTCATTAACCAGGAATCCTAGACTCCTTCAGCATCACTGGATTGTTTCATAAATTAATTTAATAACTGTTATTCCATTTGATCACTACGGCTCTGGCATATCTAATCAATAATGCTACTAGTTTTGAGAGACAAAGAAAGAAATTTAGGGGCAAAATAATAATGTACAATCCAAACAGACTCCGTCATGGGGTAGAATTCATCACGTTTAGAGTACTTGTAGCTGTTTTCAGGCTTTTTATACAAAGAAGAAAAACACAGCGTCAACAGTTCTACTTTCCCATGACATACAAACTCAGGTATTTTCAGCACATAAAAATGAACTCAGATTATTTATCAAGTGTGTGAGTTTTTTGTGTGTGTTGAAAGTGAAAGCTGTAAGTTGACAGATGACATGGAATTGAAGTGATGATTAATAAATGTATTTTTATTCTGATCCTTCTAAGAACTGGGGTACACTGGGATTCATTTAATTTGAAGTTAGATTGGTTGTCTCTATGCAGAATGTGTAAACAAAGAGTTACAAACTCCACAGCATATCACCTCCTTTAAACTTTAATCAGCTCAGGAGCAGTGTTCGTAAATCACATTTCATAACAATAGAATCACAACCTGGAATCACATACTAGTCTCCAACCAGAGCCAGTGGGACCAGTTCTCCCTGACTGAGTTACCTCAGCATTGTCAGCTCATTTCAAACCTGATGCTACCTACTTTCTCTATACATTACTGTCTAGAGGCATTTAACCCTTAAGTCCTGGCTTAGGTTTCTAATTGTTGGGGGTAAAGAACCACTTTGAGTTACACTGAGAGGCTCTGCAAAGTATCCTGGTGAGAGGAGGCCGCACGGATGAGCAATTCCAATTTCACACCAGAAACCCTGCCCTCATTTCCTCTTTCTACTCTCCTCCCGTCACTCCGGTGAAGGGTGGAAATGGGGTGAAAGAACAGCCAGAGAACGACTGGAAGAAGAAGGCTTGTAAATACATTCACAAAATGGTCAAATTTACTACAGCACAGAAAGCAGTAAAACACAGTGGAAGGCAGTGAGGTGACATCTGTAATAAAAAGGTATAATGTATGACTGTTTATCCTACCTTATACCCTCCCATGCGGTCCTCTTGGCGGAAAGGTCTGTTGTTTTTAAGCCAGCGCAGCGTGGGCGGGGGGTTGCCTCCTGCAGCACAGCGGAACTTTACGGTGTTGGCAGCTGGCACTGCGTGCAGCTTCTTCTCCATCTTTGCTGACGAAGTCCAATAAGGAGCACCTACAACCAGAGGACAGTTGCTGTTCAGTTAGGCTGAGATTTCTCAATCACGTCCTCAGCATTAACAGTCTGGCTTGAGGGCCTTGGACCGACTAAGGCGGATTTACATGGAAGCGTGACTGCAAAGGAGCCAACTCTGAGCCGTTCCTAACACTCCACACTCACATACTGCATTTAAATAAAAACACACGTTCCCTGGAGGCTCAATGGGGTGTTGCAGAGTGGGGAAAAACATCAGCTCCGAGGGGGGAATGTGCCTGGGCGTTGCCAAGAGGGTAACTAGACCATCACATTCAATTTCATCTCATTCCACTTAACAGTTTTTTTTTCTCCCGCCACTTCCTCCAATTACCATAGCCTCCCTGTATATCTGCCCGTCACTTGAATAGATATGGATGGCAGGGTCAGTGATGCTTTTCACCCATGGAAAATCATTATGTGCCATCAGGGGAGAAAACAATTGTTAATGTTTGACAAAGTATTTCACAGTTCTCAACAAAAACTTTGGCTCAGATTTGATCAACACTGAACTGTTACGATTTTTCCTGCTGTTTTTTTTTCTCAGAGTGTGATTGCCTAAGCAGATGGGGCTCAGAGGGGAAGAGAAAGTCAAAGTCAACAACAACAACCCAAACGGTCCACACCATCACTTCCTTTCTGTGTAGCAGGAGTACAAGCAGCAGAGGGAATATCCACAGATACTGGCTTTAGCAGTTCCCTCAAACATAAGATGTCCAATCTGCATACTATCAAGACACCTCTCACAATTTTCTCTGACACGCACAGTCACTCATACTTGGATAGATAGCAAAGCCAGTAACT